GTAATTGAAACAATTATCCTACAGTTCGAAACATAATCGAGACACATGCTTCAAATTACATGGCTACCCTGATTGGGAGCATGAATTACAAGCCAATAGGCGACGGGATGGTAATGGGAATGATGGTGGAGCAAGCAAAACTGCAGCGAATAGCATGGGCAAGGCTGCAGTAGCATCTACTCAGTCCAAATTATCACTTATTCCTATGACAGCGGCTGATTTGGATACGGTCATCGGGTGTCTCAGGACCAATACCACTGAGTCTTATGATGGTTGGATCCTTGATTCAGAAGCAACTGGCCATATGACATATGATGCAAGTGATTTTTTTGAACGATCCTCCCCTCGACATACTAGTATTGTTAATGCCAATGGGGACATATATTTGGTAAATGAGGCTGGTATAGTGATGATACCACCAGCCCTCTCCTTGACCAATACTCTTTTCGTGCTATAATTGCCTCATAAATTATTGTCAGTAAACCTAGTCATGAATGAATTAAATTGTGTTGTTCTAATTTATCCTACGTTTTGCCTTCTTCAAGATATTTTCACCAAGGAGATAATTCGGCGTGGAACTAAGAGGAGGGGGCTCTACTATATTGAAGATTTTGGCATCGGTTAAGTTAATTACACAAGAGGCTCCAGTGATCAAAATAAGTCGATATTTTGTTGTGGCATCGTCAGTTAGTACATCCTGCATTTGGTTATCTGAAACATGTATTCCTTACTTTATTTTTCGGTTTGTCATATTTGGATTTTAAATATGAAACATTCATCTTGGCTAAAAGTCTCCGTGCTACTTATCCTTTAAGTTTGAATAAAAGTCAGACACCTTTTGAATTGATCCACTATGATGTGTGGGGTCCATCTTGTAAACCTATTATGTCTAGTGTTCGATAGTTTGTGACTTTTGTAGATGATTGCACTCGTATGAAATGGTTGTATTTGATGAAAAACAAAGACGAAGTTTTCTCTATTTTTTGCTCATTCCATGAGATGGTTAAGACCCAGTTTTTTGCTACAATTTGCATTCTTCGATCTGATAACGGTGGAGAATATGTGAATCATGAATTCAAAAATTATTTCAATCACCGTGGGACAAAACCACATGTCTTTAGAAACCACAACAAAATGGCATTGTCGAGAGGAAAAATCGACATATCTTAGAGATTGCTCGCGCTTGTCTGCTTGGTGCTTGTGTACCTAATCGGCTAATCACTTTTGGACTGATGCTGTCACTATAGCGATTTACCTTATTAATCGGATACCTTCTACGGCTCTTGAGTTTCGAACTCTTCTCGAGGCTCTATCCGCTGTCATTTCTCTACCTACAACCCTAGTGCTCCTACCTTGAGTATTTGGTTGTGTCACCTTTGTTCATTTGCAAAAAAATCAGCGCACCAAACTTGATCCCTGTACAGTTCGATGTATTTTTTGGGATATCGCCTACATAAAAAAGGATATCGATGTTATGATCCAACTAATAAATCCGATATCCAAGTAATTAAAACAATGATCCTACAGTTCGAAACATAACCGAGACACATGCTTCAAATTACATGGCTACCCTGATTGGGAGCATGAATTACAAGCCAATAGGCGACGGGATGGTAACGGGAATGATGGTGGAGCAAGCAAAACTGCAGCAAATAGCATGGGCAAGGCTGCAGTAGCATCTACTCAGTCCAAATTATCACTTATTCCTACGACAATGGCTGATTTGGATACGGTTATGGGGTGTCTCAGGAATGATGGTTGGATCCTTGATTCAGAAGCAACTGGCCATATGACATATGATGCAAGTGATTTTTTTGAACGATCCTCCCCTCGACGTACTAGTATTGTTAATGCCAATGGGGACATATATTTGGTAAATGGGGCTGGTACAGTGATGATACCACCAGCCCTCTCCTTGACCAATACTCTTTTCGTGCCATCATTGCCTCATAAATTATTGTCAGTAAACCTAGTCATGAACGAATTAAATTGTGTTGTTCTAATTTATCCTACGTTTTGCCTTCTTCAAGATATTTTCACCAAGGAGATAATTGGGCATGGTACTAAGAGGAGGGGGCTCTACTATATCGAAGATTTTGTTGTGGCATCGTCAGTTAGGACATCCTTCATTTGGTTATCTGAAACATGTATTCCTTACTTTATTTTTCGATTTGTCATATTTGGATTTTAAATATGAAACATGCATCTTGACTATAAGTCTCCGTGCTACTTATCCTTTAAGTTTGAATAAAAGTCAGACACCTTTTGAATTGATCCACTCTGATGTGTGGGGTCCATCTCGTAAACCTATTATGTCTAGTGTTCGATAGTTTGTGACTTTTGTAGATGATTGCACTCGTATGACATGGTTGTATTTGATGAAAAACAAAGACGAAGTTTTCTCTATTTTTTACTCATTCCATGAGATGGTTAAGACCCAGTTTTTTGCTACAATTTGCGTTCTTCGATCTGACAACGGTGGAGAATATGCGCTTGTCTGCTTGTTGCTTGTGTACCTAATCACTTTTAGACTGATGCTGTCACTACAGCGATTTACCTTATTAATCGGATACCTTCTAGGGCTCTTGAGTTTCGAACTCTTCTCGAGGCTCTATCCGCTGTCATTTCTCTACCTACAACCCTGGTGCTCCTATCTTGAGTATTTGGTTGTGTCACCTTTGTTCATTTGCAAAAAAATCAGCGCACCAAACTTGATCCCTATGCAGTTCGATGTATTTTTTGGGATATCGCCTACATAAAAAACTATAGCTACAATACTAGGTTGATTCCGTCGTAACTATGTCACGATGGATGTCACTTTCTAGGAATTAGAATTCTTTTTCTCTACACCATCCACTTCTACTCTTCAGGGGGAGTCTCCGGGTGAAAAGTCAAATTGGCTACGGTATGACTGGCCTAGATTTATTGAGCTTGTTGTTTTTGTACCTAATACATAACCTACTATTAATGAGCCTGTTGTTTCAGAACCTACTGTTGATACAGAACCTAGTGTTCCACCATCAGAGACTAGTGAGAAGCAACGGGCTACTGAAATAGTAGTACCCCCTCCTCACTCCACAGTATCTACAACACATTTCCTGAGAATACTCATATGGTAAGCTTCCCGAACTCTCCAAGTACACCTTAGTTAGCTAATGATACTCCAATATGTTATGAGTTACCATACATGCATAATCGATGTAAGCAACTGAACAGATACACTCCTAACATGAAAGGCTTGGGGTTTAAATACGCAATTGCCAACTATGTATCCACAAAGAGACTTCCCAAAACCCTCAAGGCTTTCGCAGACGAAATCTCCTCTTATCAAATTCCTACGAGTGTTGAAGAAGCAATGAAAGATCCAAGGTGGGTCCAGGCTATGAAGAAGGAGATGAACGCGCTATTGAAAATGAGACTTGGGTCTTGACTGTTGACCTAAGGTTGATTA